AGAAGCTAAAGGGTTAACTTCAACTACTGGCGTTATCTTGAATTCACAGTAATGCTGTGCAATACTGTATTAGCAGACAGCTTGTTAAATTGTATGTTTTACAAGCCAGACTTTCTCATAATGTTCTCGACTACCTGATTCTCCTGGGCCTCATGATTCTGTGAAAACTTCTGCTCCTCAGATACAGATTCTTCCTGCCATCATTAACTCATTGTATTCCCTCAAAGTCAACCTGGGCTTATCTCCTTTTCACCTAGCTTACCCTACCATCAAATGTATGCACAGGAGAGCTAAACCTCTCAACTACCTGTGCCAAACAGCTATTCAGGCATCCCAAGTCTCCCGTTAATTCTGGGAGACTCCCGCTTGGTGAATGCTGCTCCCTGACACCCACAAGTCATACACAATATCTGATGAGTGTGTGATTACCATTATATTGTGTCTGATTTGCGCCCCCTTACAGCCTTATAGTACTCATTAAACAGGGGCCCAGTCTGGTGCCGGCCCTTTAAGAGCCAACAGAGCCCCTGTGATATCAGCGGCAGGGAGGAAATGACAGCTACTACCTCCCTGCTTCACAGAGGGCTGCCCACCCGGGAGGACTAGGGGGAGGAGGCAGCAGCATGGAGGCAGGAGGCAGCAGAGGGGAAGAGGTATATGTGCCAGTGTGTGTATCTGAGTGTATGTGTTAGTGTGTCAGTATGTATCTATTTGCCAGTGTGCATCTGAGTGTATGTGTTAGTGTGTTAGTGTGTATCTATGTACCAGTGTGTATCCGAGTGTATGTGTGTATCTATGTACCAGTGTGTATCCGAGTGTATGTGTTAGTGTGTCAGTGTGTATCTATGTACCAGTGTGTATCTGAGTGTATGTGTTAGTGTGTTAGTGTGTATCTATGTACCAGTGTGTATCCGAGTGTATGTGTTAGTGTGTTAGTGTGTATCTATGTACCAGTGTGTATCCGAGTGTATGTGTTAGTGTGTCAGTGTGTATCTATGTACCAGTGTGTATCTGAGTGTATGTGTTAGTGTGTTAGTGTGTATCTATGTATTAGTGTGTATCTGAGTGTATGTGTTAGTGTGTATCTATGTACCAGTGTGTATCCGAGTGTATGTGTTAGTGTGTTAGTGTCTATCTATGAACCAGTGTGTATCTGAGTGTATGTGTTAGTGTGTTAGTGTGTATCTATGTACCAGTGTGTATCTGACTGTATGTGTTAGTGTGTTAGTGTGTATCTATGTACCAGTGTGTATCCGAGTGTATGTGTTAGTGTGTCAGTGTGTATCTATGTACCAGTGTGTATCTGAGTGTATGTGTTAGTGTGTTAGTGTGTATCTATGTACCAGTGTGTATCTGAGTGTATGTGTTAGTGTGTTAGTGTGTATCTATGTACCAGTGTGTATCCGAGTGTATGTGTTAGTGTGTTAGTGTGTATCTATGTACCAGTGGGTATCTGAGTGTATGTGTTAGTGTGTTAGTGTGTATCTATGTACCAGTGTGTATCTGAGTGTATGTGTTAGTGTGTTAGTGTGTATCTATGTACCAGTGTGTATCCGAGTGTATGTGTTAGTGTGTATCTATGTACCAGTGTGTATCCGAGTGTATGTGTTAGTGTGTCAGTGTGTATCTATGTGCCAGTGTGTATCTGAGTGTATGTGTTAGTGTGTTAGTGTGTATCTATGTACCAGTGTGTATCTGAGTGTATGTGTTAGTGTGTTAGTGTGTATCTATGTACCAGTGTGTATCCGAGTGTATGTGTTAGTGTGTTAGTGTGTATCTATGTACCAGTGTGTATCCGAGTGTATGTGTTAGTGTGTTAGTGTGTATCTATGTACCAGTGTGTATCTGACAACCACTAGAGGCATTTCCACTGCATTCATCAATTAAAAGGAGGTAGCCATGACATGGAGGACTCGATAGGAAAGTATTGATTCAATGCCTTCCTATGTGAGTGTGGCAAACACCAGGCATTCATATCAGAAGCAATGGATTAGGCCATGCCTGATGGGCCCATGCCACCTGGGACATACAGGAACACTAGGAAAGGTACAATGAGGCATTAGGAATACAGGTTTGTTATCCTATAGCTTTAGTGCTCTTTTAAAACGTCCCACCACCAGCAGGTGGAAGCTTACTGGCATGTCATTAGAGACTATCTCCAATCTACAACCAGAGCACATACAGCTATTGATACCTGAAAACAAATGTGTATCTCTTTTGAATCTCTGCCTATTCTCATCCATTTTCCACTGTTGTCTCTTCTTAAAATATCCACTCATGTTATGCATAATAACATGCACAGCTATTCCTAACCCAAACATATATAATATTTTGATAGGGATCCAAGTACAGCACCAGCAGACACGTCCACTGATCATATAAACATGTATGTCTATTGCCAACTCAACTGTAGTATAACTGGCTAAGTAAATATAAAATAATGCTATTTATACCCATTGCACATGCAGTTATATGCATTAGTATTATATACGCCTATCCTCTTCCATGCATGGCAATCTGCACTGATCTCGTTCGTACATACACAGCTATCTCTTTCCCACCTATAATGCAAAGCAATGTTATCTGTACAATGGCTTGCCCATTCTATAACAATCACAGCTATCTCACCAATCCCTAACGTACACAGTTACCCCCTCCTTTCTGAAATAACAGGACTGGGGGATGCCTTCGGGATCTACAATGCCAATTATTCTTTCTGCTGCTGCCAACTTCTGTATTAAGCCAGATCCATGAATGTTAAAGTTGGCACCTGGAGTCTCTTATGTTTATTCTATACAGAATATGGCAGATAAGCTGCTTTGGGCATATGAGCTACATGAGCAAATGCCAATTTTCCGTGTGATGTGTGATTGTGACACTATCATTACCGAATATACCCAGGAGATGTGGAATAGCATGGAAGCCCTCCCAGTACATAATGCAAGCGTAGGCAGCTTGTATTGTTTGGCTACTGCTGAGATACACAGCTATCATCCCTTTTGTGATACGTACATGGCTATCTCTCCTCTCTCCCTTTGATGTAACACTTAGAGCTATTTCTTAATCGAATACCCACGCCATTACCCAGCTCTCCGTCAGCTCAGTGGTGAGTACACTGCACTGTGAGTGTCAGTCTCCCTAATTGGGGACTAATTAAAGCGATTAGATATTAAGATTATAGTGATTGTGGAATATATCATTTAAATATTAATTAGACAGATGACATGGTAACGGACTGATGGTAGCAGCCTGTTACTCCCGCAGGTTACAATGTGACACAGAGAGGGGAAGACAGACACAAGAAGCACTAGAGATACATACTAGAGGTTTTGTGGTTTAGTTAAACTGAAGAGCATATCTATAATTATTTCCTTGTATATGTATATCTCACAAAAGTGAGTACACCCCTCACATTTTTGTAAATATTTTATTATATCTTTTCATGTGACAACACTGAAGAAATGACACTCTGCCACAATGTAAAGTAGTAAGTGTACAGCCTATATAACAGTGTGAATTTGCTGTCCTCTCAAAATAATTCAACACACAGCCATTAATGTCTAAACCGTTGGCAACAAAAGTGAGTACACCCCTAAGTGGAAATGTCCAAATTGGGCCCAATTAGCCATTTTCCCTCCCCGGTGTCATGTGACTTGTTAGTGATACAAAGTTTCAGGTGTGAATGGGGAGCAGGTGTGTTAAATTTGGTGTTATCGCTCTCACACTCTCTCATACTGGAAGTTCAACATGGCACCTCATGGCAAAGAACTCTCTAAAGGATCTGAAAAAAAGAATTGTTGCCAAGACCCTGAAACTGAGTTGCAGCACGGTGGGTGTGGTGAAAGTGACTATATCAGAAGAGGCCATGATGGACTACCGGGAGAACGCCAGAAAGGAACTTTGGGACGAAGCCCTGGAAGATGTGCAGCATCAGTGAGGTGATAGGCTCCCCAGTGAAGAGCAGCAGATCCAGAAGCAAGTGGCTCTGCGAATGTCTTTCCTGGGAGAGCAGCCCCTGGACGAGTGGGTAACAGGGCTCGAGAGACTGGTATGGACAGTGCAGCATACCCCCGAGATGGAGGTGCTCAACAGGCCTGAGGGGGATGAGTACGATGGTCCTGGTCTACTACTGCATGCCATGGAGGAGGAGCCTGTAATTAACAGTAATTATTTTCCATATAGCCTGTATATGTTCTGCGGAATCTACATTAAACCATATCTTCCAAACTACTGAACGGATCTGGGTGAATTTTGGATATGTGGTTCACCCAGATCCCCCAGATCCGAGGATATATTTATTTATTTTATAGGTTTATTGTATGTTTTGGGGTCCCTGTGATATGTTTTATAATACTGTATTTTCCTGCCTGTGATAATTAAGTTAGTCTATTGTGTTGAGATACTTGTATCACAGGCAGAGGGGAGGATTTCTGATGTAATGAATGGAAGTGTTAGCTGTGTTGTAATGTGTTGATTGGTTGTTCTTCAAAACCCTGGGGGCAGTACTATATTTGTAGAATGTGAATAAAAGAGGCTGTATGTGCCAGTACAGTCAGTTCTACTTCACCCTCAATCTAGAGTCCTGTCTCTTATTGGGGGAATTGCTATATCACTACAAGGGATTGCTATGCTCTGCATATTCCCTTAGCTAATCACTACTAAACTCTTTTAAGAGCTTGTTCCTGCTTCACTCTCTTGGAGGAGAGGTTCACCCACTGGAACATGGAGCCTTGTCGTAGGTCCAGGGTGGGTAGGAGACGGCGAGACCCCAACCAAGCTGCGGCGGTTAGTGGGGTCTGCGGTGGTTGTGGTGTCTGCAGAGCGCTTGGAGCCCTCTGTAAGTGCTTGGAGTATCCTTCAACGGAGGTACCCAGTCAGGGTGCCAGGTGATCCGTTACAGTGGGCAAGACCATACACTGGTTTCACAGGACAGGTTCCACTCAGAACAGGCCTCGCCGTGGTGTGGGGGGGGGGGTTACCGCGGTTCCTGTTATTTCCAGACCTTTCTCAGGTCTTTGACTGCCCCACATCTCCCATTCAATACACTGCGGCTGCAGACTCCATATCCCAGGGAGCTGAGACGCGATTTCACGCCCTTTTTCTTGGGCTTCCCCCTCTCGCGTCTTTCCTGATTCAATCTCTCCGCCTACCTGACATCGCAGTGGCCATTTTACCCGTCCTCCGCTTTGCCGCCTTTTTTGTCTGGCGCTGTAACGGTTGGAACTGTGGGCACTTTCGCACATCCTCCTATCGGTGGTAAGTTTATTAACCCCTATTACTCCTAAACATATATTTACTTTCCCTACAATAACTGCTAAGCTTGCTGACAGCATTTCATTCTCCTTTTTTTCCCTCAGATTATTACTACAGACATGTCTGTTTATTTTAGAAGGCTTTTGTGGGTGACCCCCACTTCATTGTCTCTATTGATTTTAGTGGCTGATCCCCACTCTATAGGTGATAACACTACCTCTTATTTCTTCTGTGGGTGATCCCCACTGTGTTTTTGTTTGCACTGTGTGGGCTAACCCCACTAACTGTTGCTGTGGGTGACCCCCACTGTTTTATATTGCGTGGGTGACCCCCACTCCCCTGCCTCACTGAGCTGCCTCTAATTTTACCTTGTTATTATCATTATTATTGTTTGGGTGAACCCCAGTTGTTATGCAGTATAATCCTGCTTCTATTTATATTAAAGTGCATCTATGCTTTATTTTGAGTTCAGTGCACTCTTACACTTTCTTTAGAATTGAGATTTTATATTCTCATTTTTCTCACACATATTTTGTGTCATTTATTAATACCTGTAAAGCCAACATGTCTGAACACACAGACCCTGCCATCTCCTCAGAATTGTGTGCTTGGCTTTTCTCCACTATTGCGGAGTCAATACCCAAGGCTTTAGCTTCCTTCCATGCACAGACTTCTACCGAAACAAACCCTCCTGCACATATACCCTCTGATTCAGAGGATTCTCATCCTTCAAGTAAGGAAGGAGCCCCGCACAAACACCCTTGGAAAGGGGATAGTTTTTCTGCAGGCAAGGTCATAGCTCCTGCTAAGTCACTTAAATTGTCCCTGTCACTTACTATGCAGGATAACCTGGATCGTGGGTCCTGGGTTCCATTTCCCATCTTGCTAGTCACGGTTTTGAGGATTATAGTGCTACTTACTCTGAGGAGGAGCTTCCGGCGAATATGTATTATCCTTTGATCCCCAGGATAATACGACACCCATGCTCTGCCAAATGGGCCCCCCACACCACATAGCTAATTTCTGTACAATGTGGCTGCTCAAGCCCTTAGAGAGTGAGATTAGGGCTAAGTTGAGGGCTGAATGTCCCAGGCCTAGTGTTGTCTCAACATATTCTTTGTACGCAAAAAGACTGGGGACCACCGTCCCATTATCAATCTAAAGGACCTGAATCAATATGTCAGATACAGACATCTCAATATGGAAGGCATCCATCTTCTCAGAGACCTCCTTTGCGTGGCAGACTGGTTCTCCAGATTCCATCTAAAAGACGCATACCTCACAGTCCCAGTCACCTAAAGCCATTGGACTTTCCTTTAATTCCTCTGGCAAGGAAAAATTGGCAGTTTACCTGCCTTCCCTTTGGCCTTTGCGCCACACCATGGTGTTTCACCAAACTGATGAAACCGATGATGGCCCTGCTCTGCTCCATAGGTGTAGCTCCATTATGGGTTGGGGCCACATTATATAGTCAGCAGACACCTTGGTCGCAGGGGTCCACAGGGTCCCCTGGAGGGAAGGGCTCAGTCGCAGTTGCGACCCCTGCGATCTCGTTAGTTCCACCACTGTATGACTGCTAATAGCGACATCATAAAGAGCTGTCTTATTGCAGTTTCTCTTTTTAGCATAAACTAAATATCCTTATAATGGCCCAAGACCCACACCTACTGCGCCAGCACACAAAAATGAATTCTGCTTTACTTCAAAACCTTGGTTTTTCATAAATTCCCAGAAAACAGATCTGGAACCTTCTCAGGTAGTTCAGTTTCTGGGATTTCAAATAGATTCTATACAGTCAATTCTCCAACTGCCTTGTGTATTACTGTTATGCACTCTGATTGGTTGAATTTTTTACAATAATGTCAACTGTTTCTTTGCTGCTGGGAGTTTCAGTAAAGAAAGATAAGCAAATATTTGCCTCCTGTCTTTAATAAAATTTAGATTATTCAGTCACTTAAACTAGAATAATCGCTAATTAGCACTGGTGTTGAACTCAATTAAACAAATTTCTACTTCCTGCTTTCTTGGGTCACCTAGAACCCACAGCAACTGTGGATTTTGATAAGAACCAAAGCAGTATCACCCCATACATCTATTCTCCTTCATTTGTCCCCCTCCCACACATGCAGACAAACAGATACACATGCAGACACACACATAGACACACATATACAGACACACACACATACATACAGACAGACAGACACACACACATATGCATACAAACACACATACACACACATACATACACACACAGACACATACACATACATACATACAGACGCATACATACAAAACACACACATATACAGAGATAAGTACATACAGACTCACATATACACACATACATACAGACACCCATGCACACAGACATACAGAGAAACATTTATGCAGACACACATGCACAAACACACACACATACAAACACACACACATACAGACACAATTACACTAACAAACACACATGCAATATGTTTTAGTTACTCTCCTGCTTCCTACCTTTTAGCTGCAGGGAGTGCATTTTCCTACGGTTCAGTTGCTCACGCTGATGGGCATCACTTCCTCCCAGCGTCTGACATCATCAAAAAGTGCCTGGTTGCGCTGTTAAAGCGCCGCATTGCTGACTGGGACCCCTGTAAATTCATTGCCACTGGGTGGCCTTAACAGCATGGGCCACCTGATGGGCCCCTGAACGCGAGTACGGACAGTAATAATACCGCCTGGGCTGGGGCCAAATTACATAGCCGGCAGACACCTTGGTCGCAGGGGTCCACATGGTCCCTTAGAGGGATGGGCTCAGTCGCAGTTGCAACCCCTGCTATCTCCTTAGTTCCGCCACTGTATGACTGCTAACAGCGACATGATAAAGAGCTGTCTTATTGCAGTTTCTCTTTTTAGCATCAACTAAAGCATGCGTAACCTCGCTCCTCCATAGAAACAGTGAAAATAACTTCACGGGAACTTTGCACATGTAACTCATTGTTCCTTACTGTTGCCAGTCTAGTGATATACTCATTTGATGACAAGATTATTTACCATGTAGGTATGAACAGACACACTAATGGACTGTTACCAAAGCATACTTAGGTTAATATCAACATATAAATGGAATCTGAATGATTAGATAAACCACACCACTATCTGAAGAAAGACTGATGTTAATCTTCCTTTTGCATAAGTAAACATTATTGACTTTGATTTGTCGATTCGTTAAAGAGCATGATTCTCAACATTCTAACATAACCCAACAGCAGTCCCAGCAAGAAGGATCACATATACAGTATTCGCTAATTCCTTCAGAGATGCTAAACTTGTAGCTGAACTCGACAGTTGAAGCTGAAGAAGAACTAGATAATGCACGTTTGTAATTAAAAACATCAGTCTTAAGCAATGTGACCAAAAGGTCGAGTTTCCAAGTATCTCAATTTTCCAGTGTTTCATTATTTCTCTCTATTTCTTTTTAATTAAATTCATTTAAATTGAGTCTCTCTCTGTCGCTGTCACTTTAACCCAAATCATATGAATATGGCTTATACTCCTACAACTCATAAAATGCATTTTAGTCCAAAATTAATCATCACAAGCAATAATTTCTTTTTAATGGTTACTCTGAGGTGCCCATTTACATGGAAAGTTCATAATTTCATGAACATATTCATAAAATAAGACATATAATCTCTTAAACTTTTCTTCACTTATTCTCCTTACCCTCAGATCTCTTTATTCCTCTCCCCTAATCTTGTACCTACAGTCCACTGAAAAGGAAGTTTGTACAGATGTTATACCCTCGACTATAGTTTTGTCTTCTGAATCCTTCCTGAATTCCTAAAATGCAGTGGCGGAACTACTGCGGTCGGCCTGGGACCGAGGTGCCCGCATGCTATGTAACGTGGCCCGGCCCGCAAGGTATAACGGCTGGGGCCGCGCATTCAGGGGGCCATCCGATTAATGAATTTCCAGGGGGCCCGGTCAGTGCTTCAGCGCTTTAACAGCGTGACCAGTGACCCCTTTGATGAGCTCAGATGCTGGGAGGAAGTGACAGCCCTGGTCATTTTCTCCCAGCAACCATCGAACCGTGGGGGAGGAGGAAGGAGAGGAGGGAGGCAGAGTGGGAACTCTGACTCCCATCAGCCTGAGCCACTGGACCCCAGGGAAAGTCACCCGCCTGCACCTAAAAGGTAGGAAAGAGAAGGGTGACTAAAACATTTTGTGTGTGTTAGTGTATGTGTGTCCGTATGTATGTGTCTCTATATGTGTGTGTGTTTATGTATGTGTCTCTATATGTGTGTGTTTTTATGTATGTGTGTGTGTATGTGTGTGTGTATGTGTGTCTTTATGTACATGTGTGTGCGTGCATGCATGTCAGTATGTATGTGTCATTATGCGTGTCAGTATGTATGTGTGTGTGTGTGTATGTTTGTATGTGTGTGTATGTGTCTCTGTGTGTATGTGTCTGTGAATATGAATGTCTGTATGTATCTGTGTGTGTATGTATGTATGTGTGTGTATGTGTGTGTCTGAATGTATGTGTTTGTATGTATGTGTCAGTGTATATGTGTGTCTGTATGTATGTCTCTGTTTGTATGTGTGTCTCTGTGTGTATGTGTCTCTCTGTGTGTGTGTTTGTCTGTATATGTCTGTGTGTCTGTATGTATGTGTGTGTTTGTATGTATGTGTGTATCTGCATATATGTCTGTGTGTCTATGTGCATGTCTGTTTGTCTGCATGTGTGGGGGTGTATGGGAGGGTGAGGGTAGATTTATAGGGGTGGGGCCCAGGGCAATTTTTCACACCTGGGCCCAGTGTTTTCTAGTTACGCCTCTGCTAAAACATGTTATTTTTGCTCCCAGTTTTTTTTTAACCATATTTTTATGAGTATTCTTCTATCTCTTTATTCTTTCTTGTATCAAGCCTATCGGACATATTTTATAAAACCAGCTGACAAACATTCTCAACGCAAAATCTCTATTTTACCCTTTTCATTATGGTTTCAAGACTTGGCA